TAGGGATGTGCATCTCCATAACTGAGGCCGATGCGATACGCATCTCGATGCATAGCCAACGATACGATACATTGAAGATACATATGAAGTAGCTAGCGATGCGATGCGATACGATTCACCCCTATTACGATGCAGTGCGATCCGATTCAACACAATGCGATTCGATGCAATGGAAAAAATATGATCGCATTTATTTCTTTGGTTCAGACAGACAGCAAATCATAAATTAACTTATGTGTCTTCTGACTTCTAACGCCTCGAGGCCTGTTTCATAAAACAAGTTTACCAAATAGGCCAGGCTTATTTCAGTTAGTCTGACTCACTGTCAAATGATTTGGTTCCATAAAACAAATTTAACAAAGATCAAAATCAGTCACTGTGGCAACTTATGCTGGAAAGCTAACCTGGTCCAGGGCAGGCAAACTGTCAGACTAAGCTGAGCTCCTCTAACACTGAACAATAGGAATGCAATGATATTACCACTGACTCTCTCACATACTATCATAGCCATGCAGCCTTTTTCTCTGGTTTTATGACAGCTGTACCTTTTATAGTTAGAACAGATAGCATTAGAACTTTACAATCTATCATTGCTCTTTAAAGCATTAAAACCACTAAACTAAAAGTTAACTACATTTTAACTGCTATAAGAAACACACATTAAGTAGTAATTAAGTAGTAAGCTTAGTAATTAGGACTGTATTACACTGAACACAATTATAAATGCAACACTTTTGTTTTTACCCCCATTTTTCATGAGCTGAACTCAAAGGTCTAAGACTTTTTCTATGTACACAAAAGGCCTATTTCTCTCAAATATTGTTCACAAATCTGTCTAAATCTGTGTTAGTGAGCACTTCTCCTTTGCCGAGATAATCCCTAATAGACATCCATCAGCCAGCCACCAAAATGATGAAATTTTGCAATATTGTGCCGCCACGCTCAACAAATATCATTATGTTATATTGTCCCAGCAGTGTTCTTTACAGATACCTTATCCTGAGGCACACGCCGGACAATCATATTTCTATTTTCTCAGTGTGATTGCATTACTGAGATTACTGGGCCTAATTATGAATTTGTGTGCTTGCATCAGACTAGAACCCACAACTGTAGCACCTTATAAACTGGATTAACGGTGAGTATGATTAGCTGAAGCCGTGATGTTGACCAGCAGCAGGTGGCCCAGCATTAGTATTCAAGAGAAGGAAAGTGCAGCTTCTCTCCGCCACTTTATTTTAAAGCCCCACACCCCCCATGACCCACAAGAGCTCAAGATGTCCTCATACAGCAGGCCAAAACCCACCAAACATACGGCCCCCCCAGCTGGACCCTCACAAAGCCTTGGGCTTTGAACAGCGCTGAGGAGCGCTCGCTTGACCCCCTCTCAACTGCTCAACCCCTGCTCACTGTTGCCAACTCTCGCGAGACAAATAAGCAACCGCAGTTTCAAAAACAAGCCCAAAACAAGCCCAATATTTTTTGATAATTTATTATCATCAATATTATTTATTATCAATTATTTATTACCAATAAATGAGCCCGAGACTTATTAAACTGAAACTATCCTTTTATCTGAAAAACAAAAACACAAGTTATTTTATAAAAATCAGCAAACTGCAACAAAGCAGGAACAAAACTCATCTCCAATCACCTGTGAGCAGAATAGGATTGGAGAGATGGAAAAGGAGAAAAACACAAGAGCTTCAATGGGGAGCTGTAACATAGCCACATATTTATAGCCTACTAAAATATTGGCTATTCGAACCAAATCTACTCTTAGTATTAGTATAGGCCTACTTGTTTTTTGTTTTTTAACAGCCCGTGATAATTAATACATTACAAAAGCATTGTAAAAAGTAAAAATTAGGCTACCTTATAAAGGAAAAAAGTCATCCCACTCCTCTACGTCTATCATCGCTTGGATTACAGCGTCACCCTCATTGAAGAAAAATCACGTTCAAAAAGAAGGCGCGTGCGGACGGGCCGGAATATTGGACAAATTACGCTACAACACTTATATTTTTTGCACTGATTGGCTATTAACTGTGAGCAGACAGAGTGTCAATCAATGCATTGGAGAATATTTTTTAAAAATAAGCCCAAATAACCGCAACCCGGATTTTTTCACGCAACTTTTCAAAAAAAGAAGCCCAAAGTCGCGTATAATACGCAGACTTGGCAACTCTGCCCTTGCTTGTTTGTCAAGTTGACTTTTGAGATGTTGGAGGCGGGGATCACGTGTCAGATGCCTCCACTCCTGTGATTGGTCAAAGGAAGATTAAAATGCTTGACCTGCGTGAGGCAAATGGTGGTCACACCAGATACTGACTGGTTTTCGGACCCCCCCGGACCCCCCAATACAGTAAAACTGCACATTTTAGAGTGGCCTTTTATTGTGGCCAGCCTAAGGCACACCTGTGCAATAATCATGCTGTCTAATCAGCATCTTGATATGCCACACCTGTGAGGTGGATGGATTATCTCGGCAAAGGAGAAGTGCTCACTAACAGATTTAGACAGATTTGTGAACAATATTTGAGAGAAATAGGCCTTTTGTGTACATAGAAAAAGCCTTAGATCTTTGAGTTCAGCTCATGAAAAATGGGGGCAAAAACAAAAGTGTTGCGTTTATAATTTTGTTCAGTGTATTATACGAGTCTTCTGAAGCATTTGAGGAACAGACAGAAATTAGAGTCATTACTCAATGAGAATCTTTCATTTCTTTCCCGGCCCTTCCGGAGGTCTGTGCACCGGTATATAGGCTATTAAGTGAATGTAAACAGCTGAGAAACAAAAATCGTGTAACAGTAGCTATATTAGATCCGTGCACAAGGTCTTAAAGAGACAGCAGCCTAAATAAATCTGCTGCTGTCTGTGTCATTACTATTTATTTATACAGTGAAGAATATCCAGTGTTATTTTGCAGATGAATAGATTATTCAGTTTCTGTACCTGAATATTGCTGTTAGACCTACCTGAAAAACTTAAATAACTGTTAATTTCATTTGTATATATTTATTGTATTTGTTTGTGCTATTGCTAGTCATTTATTTATTTGTTCTTATTTTGTTTACTTGTCTTTTTTCATTTAAATTCAATTCAAAGTTTGAAATCAGTTTCTTGTGCTGTGTGTAAGCTATTGCACACCAAAATTAGCCC